GCTGGTCGGTCTCCGGGAGGGTGCTGTGGGAAACGCGTGACGAGGCTGCGTTGGCCAGCAGCGCGGAGCGGAGGTGGAGATTATCCATAGCTACCTTCATTTTTTACAGAGAGTGATCAGGCATTGGAATGAGCTGCCCAGGGAGGTGGTGGATTCACCATCCCTGGAGGTTTTCACAATGGACTGGATGTGGCACTTAGTGCCACGGTCTAGTAACCACGGTAGGGCTGGACTCGATGATCTTCGAGGTCTCTTCCAGCCTGGCTGATTCTATGATTCTGTGATTGAAATGAGATGAAACGCATCGCTGCAGTCAGCGCTGTATGTTAAAGCGGGTCCTGCCCGGTAGGATTTCTGCTTGTATGTTGAAGGAGCTTGGATATTTGCACCTAGGGAGGTGCAGGACTGCAACAGAGGTTGAAGGAGCTTGGATATTTGCACCTAGCGAGGTGCAGGACTGCAACGGAGAGTGGTTTGTTGGGTGTGACTGAACCGATGGAATGGGTAAAGCTCAGCTGTGCCCTGTGACTTTCTCCCTTCAGAAGGAAGAGTAGGAGGAGGGAGAAGAAGGTGGAGGGGAAGATGTGCTTATATCTGCAAATAAATAAAAAATATTGCTGCAAAGATGTGAGAACAGCCTGGACTCCACAGTTCTTAAATATAAGATGGGAAATACCATTTCATCATACCAACTTTGATGAAGTGGATCTAAGTGAGGCAGTAGGAGGATGAGGAGGATAGTAGCATATCCGATCAGCAAGGTGTTCTACTGATCTTTGTTAGCAAAGCATGTTAATTTTTTAAATTTGATTTCTCTTCAATTATTGAATAATAGATTGTGCTGCTGTGCCTTTTGCACTACGTTGGTGGCATACTTTCCATCTCTAGGGCTTATTGTTTATTTCTGCTTGCTCATTTGTGTTTTCAAACCGTTACATTATTTTGTTAAAATGTTTCCTTTATCACCTGACAGCTTTATCTGAGAGTCTTTGGTGAGGAACTTTGTGGAATAATCTGTTTGAATCATCTTGATTCATGTGCTCATTGATCCCTTCAGAGGGGACCCTTTGGTCCAAGGGGTTTTAATTTGCAAAGATGTCAATAACTTAATAATATCGACATATTTGTAATTCCAACATCTTTCTGTTTGCCAACAGACTTCTTACCTAAGAATGTTTTTATCTTTCCAGTTGTTTTCTTATCTGATAATTACTTTGTCATTAATAAATAGCAAATTGAAGCCATTGTCCACCTTGAGCTTCAGCTTAAGGTTCACACCTGCTGCTGTCAGATGCTGGTTTGCTACCTAGTGCAAACATTTTTAGTAAAGTTCTGCTTGCATGAGTGAAAGTGGGGAAAGATAGAAATTTGGGTTAAGAAATAGAATGGCAATAGACCCACATGTATCACTTGACAATTGCAAATGTGGTGGGTTGACCCTGGCTGGATTCCAGGCACCCACCAAAGCCTCTCTGTCACTCCCTTCCTCAGCTGGGCAGGGGAGAGAGAATATAAAGAAAGGCTCATGGCTTGAGACTGGGGCAGGGACACTCACCAGGTACTGTCACAGGCAAAACAAACCTGACTTGGGGAAAATTAGTTTATTACCATTCAAATTTGAGTAGAATAATGAGAACTAAATCAGAAGAACCCACCTTCCCCCCACCCCTCCCTTCTTGTGGGCTCAACTTTCCTCCTGAATTCTCTAACTTCCCTCTCTGAGCAGTGCATGGGGGCTGTGGTCAGTTCATCACATGTTGTCTCTGCTGCTCCTTCCTCCTCGGGGGGAGGACTCCTCACCCTCTTCCCCTGCTCCGGCGTGGATCCCCCTCATGCATGGCATTCCTTCAGGAGCAGGCTGCTCCAGCGTGGGTCCCCCATGGGGTCACAAATCTGTAATATTTTCTAGGTAACCATAAGCATTACTGTTACTCTGTTTTCCTGTTAGGTAATGAAAAACACAGTATTCAGGTTGCTTCTCAACAAGAAGATGGTGAGCCTACACTACAGGACATGGCTGTACTTATTGAACAAGTCACTGGAGTTCCAGTTCCTTTCCAGAAACTGATATACAAAGGTAACTTACAGCTCTGCAATGTTTCTTATTGATGTTAACCTTTCATCTTAGTTACTTTCAGGTGTCTGTGTTCCGAATGTCTTCAAAAAGACATTCCTATGCCAATAACTGTACTTGAACTGGTTTTTCCCTCTCTTGTTTTTTATTTAGGAAAGTCTCTGAAAGAATTGGAACAACCATTATCAGCACTTGGTGTTAAAAATGGTTGCAAAGTCATGTTGATTGGGAAAAGGGTAAGTGTTGCCTTTGGACCTTTTTTCCCCCTTAAGTTATCATAATTTTTGTCAGCTGCTGAACACAAAAACAGGTTGCAGCATTAACCTAATTTTGTATACCGACCCACAGAGTTAAGTTCAGTCTCAGGTTACACTGCCAATAACTGCATTTGCAGTGTACATTTCTGGAGTTATATTATTGACTGGAATCTGCTTTATGTTATTGGCAAAACTCTGCCTAATCTGCTGTCAGTGCTCATCAGCCTTCTGTGCACTGATGACCTTATCTGCCCATCTTATTTTGGTGGTTTAAAAAAACCTCCCTCAGCTGTAGCTATGGAGTCTGTTGGGTTATTTCTAGTGAAATGACTTGTGGCTGGCTCTCCCTCAAGTAGAGAACAAGGTAATAATCTCATGATGTAAATGTTTCCTCTACTTTAAAAATGCTAAGTTAAAAGAAAAAAAAAGAGTTTGCACTTTAACTTTTTCCCTTCAAATTAATCTCATTTAGTGTGTTTATATATGTTGCTCTTCTAACTGTATTTGTAATTAAGCTTTGGAAGAAGATTATTTGCTAAGTATTGAAATACAGAACGAATAGCCACAGTGTAGTATGTATTTTAAACAATCAGATGCTTTTATGTCTGTATCACCACTGTTGCTGCTTTTTAGCTGCGTTATGTCTCTAATTGTCTCTAATGGTTTTCAATGTTGTACTTTTGAATACACAGAATAGTCCAGAAGAAGAGGCCGAATTAAAGAAGTTGAAAGATTTGGAGAAGTCAGTGGAGCAAATAGCTAATAAGTTAGAGGAAGTTAATAAGGAGTTCACAAGTATCCAAAAGGTATGCCAGTTTTGTATCCCTTTGTATCTTTGCAAAACAGTTTTGTAGGCATATGTATTTAAAAAAAACAACAAACAAGTTTAAAGGTTTTGGGTAGTCAGTAATGGGCTGTCCCTTCTAACTGTCCAAGGGTCCTGTTTCAATTCTTAGTGAATTTCAAATGCCATTTATGAGTTTGCAAAGCAGAGACATGGCATTGTTTGGAAAAAGGTGAATGTTGTTTCATATGGGATAATTTACATCCTTCATATCTGGAAAAAACATAAAGAGTTCTCTCAAAGTCCAAAGGAGAATGCCTATTACTTGTTTATCTTCGAAGAAAACTTAGCAGATCTTGCATTTGCCATATCAAGTATTGACAGAATACAGATAGAGACTGGAGTCCTTACCGCGCTTGAAATGACAGAAATAGTGAAAGATCTTTTCTGCTGTGGTGGATTGACAGATTTTCTAAGATGAGTATTCTGTAGAGTATGGGATAATTTTGGTTTTTCTTCCTCAGGGATTTTTAGCAAAGGATCTCCAAGGAGAAGCACTAAAACAGCTGGACAAGAGGATAAAAGGAACTGCAGAGCAGTTCATGAAGACCCTGGAACAGATTGATGCCATTGTAAGTAACTAACCACAGAAAAGGGTCAAATCCCAACACAAACTTGCTGTTAAGGGTATATCTTTCTTATAATTTATTATTTTAATACACTAAAAAGTACATTTCGACTTTGAAAATTAGTTAATCTGTTCGCTCAGGTTTTTTCTTTAATATCCAGTTCTTGCCCCTGTATGTCTCCAAAAGAGTACTTGGCAGCCTGTCTTTCTAAATGGTGGCATGAATGCCTGTGTGTGCATTCCCATTCTCCAGAAGACCTTCATTTGGGGCAGCAGCCTGTTAAGACTGCATGAAATGGGATTCCTTTACTCAAGCTTTACCCTTTTAGTTTGTCTTGTCAAACTTTTATGGTAGCAGTAAAGGTGTGGGGAAAAAAGCCTATGAGTAACACTTCATGTTCTAGATCACATAGGAACAAGGAGGTCCTGCAGGCTGAAGAGTTTTCTGGTCAGTCACATGTGGACTGACCATACTTTTATTTGAGATGCCTCTGCATGTTAAGGATTGGGTTCTTTCTTTGGAATGTACTGGGGTATATCCAAGTGCTTTACTGTCATTAATGGATCATAACCTTACAGTGTATTTCCAGAGTATAATATATATATCTTCCCATACCACGTAGTAGCTGAGAGCTAGGTGAGAATAAGGGACTTGTGCAGAGATAAATAGAAGACTGTCATAACTAGGTAATTTCCTTATTCTGTTTCTCTGCTGGTCATTCTCTGTAAGCTTCATTATATTATTGTGTTGCATATCACAATCATAATATCCTGCACTGAAGGAAAAATGCAGCTTTTTTGTGGTAGTGATGTCTTTGGGTCTACTCCTTTGTATAGTGGCCTTTTATGGGAATTTTCCAAGAAAGCTGCCATGGAAATGCCTATAATTGATGAAACTAATGTAGTCTAATCAATGGACACTTTGAAAAACTTCAGCAGCAGATGACTAAGTCAAAGAGTAATAATTTGAATTGACCATCCTCAAATACTATACAACAGGGATGTGTTCCTAGGAATGGTGGGAAGGTCATTAACTTATTTCCTGCTTTTATATTGTGCATTATGAATGGTAAAGTAGCCTTTGCTGTTTGTTATAACCTGAGTTCTTAAATACATATTTTTAAAAATTCTGTATGCTAAATATGTTAAAATCTTAAAATTTCTCTTTCCTTTTCTGCCTCATATAAAAACATTATGCTGACAGTTCCTGAGTGCTGTTAGACATACACACTGATTCCCCATTTGAAGTGGCAGATTTATTATGCGTTATTATGAAAATATCGATGACAACTGTCTCAATTGGATGGGATTAGAGCTTATTTGTGATCCCTTCAATTTCTGATACCAAGTCCTATTGAGAAAAAAACAGTATTTGTATGCTGGTGTGCAGCTCCAGAACCCCCCAGGAAACCTTGCAAGACCCTTCCACTGCTTCCCAAGTTTACTTTTGATTTGAAACAGAAAGCAAGATATGTCCTTATCCAAAATACTCTAAGTACTGGGCAAGGAACTTTCAGGTTTAGTACAAGATTTTAGAATACTTATAGCCTAGTGACTTAATGCTTAAATTTAGGCAATACTGGAGTCCCTGTGCCTCAGTTTTATTTCTTGTCGAAGTGGAGGAGCCAGAGCTAAACCAAATGCTAATTAGTGTCTTTCAAAATTTGTAATAGTTGTTTGTTACTTTGTTGTATAAGAGCCTATGACATTGATAAACCTCTTTTTTTTTTTTAAAGAAATAAGTGAGAGGTTTTATTATCAGTGACTGAAGTTACATTGCGCATATTTATTTCTTTTAATATACAAAGCTGGATGTGGGGTTTGTCATGAAAACTGGACTCGTGTGAAATATTGCAATGAGATACATGTAGGTGGGTGGAATCTTTACATAAAATGTAGGTGCTGAGTGTACTGGTATTACACCAGATCAGATGAACAGGCCACCAACTTGCTGAGGTAGTATTTATCTGTACTGTAGTTGTGCAATGTACAGAGGCAGCAATACGGAATGATAATGAGGTGTGTGTATGAATAGTGAATGGGTTCCACTGAAGTAAAAAATGGTAAATAGAAATGTAAAGTGTAAAGCTTCAAAGTATTTTATCTGTATCTCAGAATTGGCTTATACAGTATTTAGTATTCTTTTTGGTAGACAAGTAAGAAGCAAGTTCTGACAGATCTGTGAAATGCTATTGAACATGCAGAGGTGCTATTGATTCAATCAAACACATGTTAAAAAATTAGAAGGGGAAAAATGTGACTGAGTGAGCTGCTTTCCTCTAAGACAGAAGAATGGGTGATGATGCATTGTAGAAGTAGAACATACCAGCAAGCTCACACTATAAATGTTCCAGTTTTTTTCTTTGGCAGAATCATTGTGAAAGCTCATTAAAGTGTCTTGTCTGTGGTATGTTATTTGGATCACTCAAAACTATATAGCTTGATGCAAAATGAGATTTGGATGGTTACAGAGAGCTAAGGGTGAGGAAGACTGCATATTCTTTTCTCTCTATTCTAGGAGTGTCACTCTCTTAGTGTTAGCAGACAACTCGTTAATTAGAGGAGCTGAGTTTGGAACTAGTGCTCCTTTTTACTAGACTCCATGTGTTCAACAACTATGAATTTAAAAGAAGTGATTTGAGAAGTGGAGAAGTTGATAGTCATACAGTATTAGGGTGTGAGATTAAAAACACAGTGTTGTCACTGCCAGAGGTGTGAAAGAAAAGTCTTGAAGGAATGCTTTTGGGTAGAGTAACTGTGACATAAACATTTTAACATTAAATGTGTTTAAATGGCTACTGCTTCCACAGCAGGAAGGGTGGAGGGATCCTAATGCTGTGATACAGTCAGGCACTGCCATAAGCCACAGATCTTCGAAGTTTTCATCAGGAGGAATACAGCTGAGTCTTGTTCAACAGTTGAAGATTGGTGTGTGTGCATTGCCAGAAATGCTATTTATTCCATCAGTTAAAACATTTGGTCCAGGAGTAAAACTCAAAATACACTGCGTATTACAAATCTCAGTGAGTAGAACACAGGAAATGCTTGACTTGATCATCTGGCACAAGCTTGAAATAACTGCAAGGCAAACTGCAAAAGGAAAATTTTTCAGAGATCAAAATTTAAATCCACAGTCGTGACAGGATGTACTTGTGAGCCTGCTCTAATTTACATGAACTCCATCGCCGTATTGCAATCTGAACACTGACTTAGTTCTCATGATGATTTCCTATTAAATGGCAGATTTGTAATCTAGAAAGACAATGTTGGGGAGGACAGATTGTTCTAACAACTGAAATAAAAGAAAGCTCTCTCTTTTGAAATACCAGTCACTGATTTTGTATGCATAAGTTCACCAGAAAGTCATCTGTCAAATTGCATGTATCAATATGGAGGACATTGATAATGTTACTGACTCATAATTATCCTCTGGTCACCCACCCTCCTTTCTTGCGGAATTTTTCAGTTACAGTTCCTCTTTAGAACTTACTTAAATAAATGGCCATGATGCCTCATGAAACTTTTTTCACTGTCTTCCTCCTTGTCCCTGCTATACTTGTCACCTGGTAAATCAATACCAAACATTTCAAGGATTAAAAGGAAGAAGTAATTCGGAAAAAATAAGCATTGTACCTGTTACAGACATTTCTCAGACTTCTGAAAAGTTCTGCCACTTACAATAAGATGAGAACTTATTACTAAACCTTTGACTTTATCTGGGTCAGTAAACATTTGATAAGCATTTCTTACTATAATTCTTTAATCTCTTAGCATGAATCATAAACATAAAATCAAAGCTTCAGAGGAAAATTTTTCTAAAGCACAAGGTGCATGAAAACACTGGTGTCCTTCAATGCGGGTACACTTAGTTACCACTTTTGCATTCAGAAAATCCATTGGAAAATGCTGCCTTTTAATAACTGCTTTTAAAGAAGCTGCTCACATACCTACTTAGATGAAAAAGACTCAGTGTGAACATATGCTTACCCAATTTACCATTTCACTTAATAAGTAAAAAAAAAGTGAAAGGCTGGTAATGAATAAAAACTGCACATTAAAATACTATTTGTTAGTTTGGATTTTGGAAGAAACTAATAAAAAAGCTTCATGTTAGATGGATGGAGTGTCCTTTCTGCAACTGATTAGCATTGGTGGCAAGTATAGCAGAGTGATTCTGGGGATTTTAAAAAGCAATTTGATAACAAATCCAAAATGTTTGTAGCTATTATTGCTAGTGCCAGCTGATGTAGGAGATTGCCTGTTACAAGAATGATGTCCCTTTGGTTCTGATAAGATAGCCATAAATAATAAATTTTACTAGCATTTGTTTTGTTTATTCACTGACTACACTGTGATGAAGTACATTCAGGCATCAGATATTACCTACCGGGGTCTATGGTTTGGGAACCAAAAGAGGAGAACAGAGATGTGGTGGTTAACACCAAGCTTCAAAACTGGTATTGGAAGCACTCTCAAAACAAATGGAAGTTGAGCAGAGCTTAAGGTAATGTTCTGTGGCAAGGGAGGTGGTTTTATTAAGAGATCAGCTCGGAGAGGGGAAAGAAATGACAAGAGAGTCTGTATTTCTTAAGGAGCAGTACTCAGAGAGGAATGTTTGGTTCCTAATCAAAAGAACACTCAAGATCAGAGAGGATCTAGAGGCAGGAAAATGCACACACATTAATTTATTGTAATGTAAACAGGGATTGATTTTAAGGATTTCTCATATAAAGTGTGACTTGTGCATATGAAAGCTGAGTCCTTGAGGCTGTAACGTGTGTGTTTGCAGTGTATGTTGCCAGTGTATCTGCAGGGTGAGAACTCTGCAAGAGTTGTGGTTCAGCTGCTCTGAATTCAGCTGTGGGAGATAGCCACTGGTAATGGAGACTTGGGATCTGTTTCTGGGTGGCTGGGAGAAGAACAAAGAACCTGTCCCCAGGAGCTCTACAGAACTTGCTGGGGTGAAGGCAGCACTGCAGTCACTTTTCAAAATATAAGATATACAGAAGAAACACTTGAGCAGGGTTTTGCCACAGAGAAAGTGCAATGCAAAGAGGAGACCTACTATAAAAGTACGAATATGTTGTGCAGTAGAAAGCCTTATACCAATCCAAACTGCTGCTTTGCAAGCACTGCTAGCACCAAAATATTGACTTGGCAAGGGTTTTGCGTGAGCGCAACCTAGGCTTTCGCTACTCCTTTAATTAAATTTGCTTGTCACTAAATATGGAAATGTTATTGTGACTTAAGGTTTATTGCCAGATTCACCTGTTAAACTCCGAATAGTTGGACAGCATATTCCTGGAGAGGAGACATAAGCGGACGAAGGTAAAACAGAGAGACTGTGAGACTTAATTTGATGTTAAGATTTGTAAACTTTACTAATTTGATTGCAAAGGACCTTTTAAGTAGCTTGATAAGTTAGTAGATTTAAGCCTTTGAATTCCATGCCTGTGTCAAGAGCATTGCAAGGTGTGATTTAAATAAAAGACAAATCAGCTGTGAGGGTGTACAAGCAAAAATAGGAGTTTGGACACACACAGGTGATTAAAAAGTTCAGTTATGAAAAATAATGTAAAAAATACAAATAGTCTGAATGTCTTTCCTACATTCAGATTTTAAAGTTTCTGCCAGTTACCAATAGCTGTTTCAGAGACAGACTTTGTGTGATGAGCCCAGCCGGAGTTCCCTGTCTGCTGTTGAAAGTTAATTTAGGCGTGTTCTGATGGTAGAAAATTGTTTG